TGGTAGTGGGAATAGTTAAAGTTTTCCTAAATTCAAAAGGTATATCCAATAATACTTACCTACGCTCACACTTATAGCTATTACTTCACTGTCAGGGTTTCTTCCTTTGTCCATCTGAGCATTAGTCTGATTTTTTCTCGCTTGCTCCAGTCTTTTATATCCCACTTAATTGCCCTTGACGATATTCATCTCCTGATATTCTCCACCTATGTCAATGTGGCCTCTATCCTGGTACTGTATATAAGCACCTCATTCAGATAATGTCATCAGTTTTTTGAGACTGATTCAATCTCAATCTCTAACACCAACTCTTAGTGGGGAGGAAGGGCAGGAGAGTGTGAAAAGAGGTAAGTATTATTGGAAATACATTTTCAATTTAAGAAAATGTTAACTTCCAAAACATACAAACCTCCACTCCCAATTATAGCTAGAATATCCCACATTGATAATGTGGAGGGGCCGTTGAGGGCATTATCCATACAGAGAGCAGCTGCATAGATCATGGGTGTGTCAACAGAAGATTGACATCTTAGTGGGGGGAACTGCACTACATCCAGAACAGGTATGCTCTTTACCTGTAATTAATTCATGTACTGTAGGTGGAATTCTTACATGAATTATCATTATTATGGGCCAGGATCCAACCAGATAGCCGGGGTTCCACTGCTCCCGGTTATAATTATAGGGCCATGGTCCCTATATCTCATGTTGATGGGTAGGGGAATTTGACTGCTATATATACATGAGTCGAACTCAACCTGTAGCCATAGAGTGATGCATTCCAAGCCACCAGAATCACGAGAAAGTAAGCAACATCGAAGTGGACAAGAGACAACATCACAGGCTCGGAATGATGGGATCTTGTATGTCATACCCTCCCTGAGGAAACAGAACTCATCCGGTCTGGAATTATGAACATTCATTTTCAATCCCCAACTGTGTGGGCAAAGTAAATACCACTTGCCCCCAGAATTATGGGGAGGATGTGGAACCACTTTGCTTTCAGAATTACAAGAAGACAATGGACCCTCTTCCATGAACAATGTACTAAACCAATATTGATCAAAAAGAAGGGTCACGCTCAATCCAACCTGAACCGGTATTACGAGCAGGCTTCTGGATAGGCTGATGCCACTTCTACAGACATTTGGGGAAAAACATCCAGGGACCTGGGTAGGTGGGCCCCCAACTTCATCCTCTTCTCCAAGAGTGGAGGAATTCACTCAAACACTCTGGAGGAACAACCTCTGTCCATTATCCCAGTGACTATAAACTGGGTGTGGTAAGGAGTTCCTAGTTCCAATAGTAAAATCTGGGGGGGTAATGTGCACTGGGAAGTCCTGAGG